ACTTTTGCTTCGCTTGTGAGCTTCCGGGACTCAACCATTCGTCCCAGTCTGAAATCACAGCCCTGGCAGCCCTGGTGCTTGCTCTTCAAATGTTTCATGGGGACCTGACAATTTGTTCCGATTGCTCTACTGCTGTAAAGGGGGGTTGACATCCTCAAGCATCATAGTTTCAACCCTGTCAACTTACTTGGGACAATTTTGACTTATGGGTTGAGGTTTGTAGACATGCTTCTACTCATCCGGGTTCGGTTACTGTTTATAAGGTAGCGGCTCATGGCCGGGATCGAGGTCAGGCCCCCTATCTAACTGAAGGAAACCGTCAAGCTAATGACTTAGCTTTTGACTGCGCAAAGCAATCCTTTCAACAGTGTGCAGCAGATATTTTGCCTGAAATCAAAAACGCTGTCCGTTTGCAAGTTCATCTTATCAAAACATTTTATGCGCAATCTTGTAATCCACAAGAAGAAGGGCGCAAGCAAGTTTCGGGTACGCAAGAATCCTGTGGTTTTACACCCAGACGCTCTTGTGTACCTGGCAGCGTTTTCGTAAGAAAGGAAGGATGTTATGCACATGTCCTGCCTCTCAAAGCTTATCCCCAGTTCTTAATGTCGAACATTTGTTTCTTAACCATGTTCAGGATGGAGCCATGGTACCCTTTGCGATATCCCCCGGGAAAGCCCGTGGCTTCCTATTTCCTGGGATTTGCAACTCTTGTGCAGTGTTTTTGTTGTCATTGGGTACATTTGTCAAAGAAGCCTTTTCGGATTTATGCCCTGAAATCTCGTCTTCCAAAATTGGTGGCCAGTTCGGCTTGGCTCCTTTGAAGGCTTTTGGCGTTCACCTTAATTCTGGCTGCAAGACAGCGTTGTGGACTATTTTCATCCAACTTAATTTGTGTGACCGCATGTCCACTACTTGTAGGGCTTGGAAACCTGATTGGAATCTGATTTTGACTTGAATTTCTGGAGGAGCGAGGCGTGCATTTGTGATGTGCCTCAAAGGTTTCTGTTTGCAAAAAAATACACCGGGGGGTATTGATCCAGGTTTGACATGAATCACAATCATTTTGATGGTAAGCACCATGCACGTCAAAAGTGTCTTCTAAGCGAAGCTTTCGCACTGGCTATGCACGTGCCATATCTTTTGATCAGATTAGCATCAAGACTTGGGCTGAAAGTGCTGTTTGGTGGTTTGGAACATTTTCCATATATTGGGAATAATCATCCCAACTGACTTTCATATTTTTCAGATGGGTAGGTATACCACGAACCAGATACAGATACACATTTTTTGGGGCACCCCGATGGAAAAGTTTCTCGAGGAGAACAAACACACCATGTCCCAGTTTCCAGAGCTTCCCGGCCTTCCGAGGTGTTGTTTCTGTTCGGAGCTTTGGTTGCAGTTTGAGGTGTTCCTCCCTGATATAATGAGCATATAATGATCATATAATGATCATAGTCATAGGGAAACTGATGATAAACTGGTAGAAAACTGGGGGGGTTGATGTTCCAACCCACATTCTGAGAACCCGAGTGGGATGGCTCGGTCGCATCGATGGTAGCATCAATGATTGCCCTGGACTACCATCACACATTGGAGTTCGACATCACCGAGACGTGCACCACCTCAGGGACATTCAATCCAGAAGGGCTTCGACCTTTCGACCTCTGTTCCAAACTGCCAGCAATCTACGCAGCAAAGGACACTTGATACCCTCTGGTAATTTAACATAACTATGGAAAATCACCATTTTTAATGGGAAAATCCACTATAAATGGCAATTTTCAATAGCTACGTTAAATTACCAGAGGGTAAATGCCAGGAGGTACAACAGCTGGGACCCTTCAAGGAGAGCTCTGCGTCACTGGTCACCGTCTTCGTAGACGACCAATATGCAATGTAACCCCAACCTATTAAGGAATAGTCAGAATGGCCAGGGTTGATTATGTTTGGGGATGGGTCAAAACATATGATTACCATGTGACTGGGTGAATATCCACCCATGAAAAACGGGTATGACTTAGGGTACCATCCGGGTAGCAGCCTTTGGCCCATCACCATTTCACTTCACCCTTGCCAATTGCACTCCAACCGTATCTGAGTTGTTGGGATCCCTGACCAACCATTAGCTGAGCAGTGAATTGGGTACTGCTCAATTGTGGTTTTTTGCGTCACCAAGAACGTGGAAAATCTTTGCAAGCCTGACATGGATCAAATATGATGAAATGGAGGTTTCCTAAGTCATGGGGTTACCCCCAAATCATCAATTTCTAGAAAGGATGTTCCTTTATAAACCATCCAGCTATTGGGGTATCCCCATTTTAAGAAATCCCCAAGTCAGTTCTGACATGATTGGTATCCTCAAAGACATGAGTTTCATGTAACCGAAACTGAAACACGGAGCAACAATGCTCCTTTGGAACAGGATTTTTCAATCCATTTCAGGGGCTCATAAATTTCAACTGAAACGAATCGAATGAATCCCAAAAAAACACCTATGTTTATTGATGTTTATTGTGGCATTTCACCGTGGTACCAGTGGCGGGCTTGACAGGATGGGTATTGATTCGAGACCTATCATAGCATCTGACTCTAGCAGGGTTTTGATCTCCATTTCTGGCCACGTTGGGTGTTCCCACCATCTTCATGGTTCGAACCAGGGTTTCCTGTATGTTTTTTCAAACCAATCCATTGATTGGTTATATCCCCAGATTTTGGTGAAATTACCGTATGTCCTCTTTATTGTTTTACTGAAGAATAATAGGCTTGCTCCAGCTCATGATTTGATCGATGGTAATTAGCCACTCTTGGGGGGGAAGTGGCTCATGTTACTTCTATATTTACCCCATTTCCCCTCGAACGTACCTCGGGTGGAGCAACCCTGGACGTGGATGAATTCATATGAATTCGATCACAAAAAGGTCGTTCCCCGTCGGAATGATGGGTGTAGAACGGCAATCATCTTTATAGTTGGCCGCAAGATTCAGACTGAAAAAAAACAACTGATCCAATGTGCTGTATTTTTCAGTCATATCTCCCATGTATTTTTCAGCGAAACCCAGCCATGACACTTTCTCGAGTTCGCCCAGGTATATGACTGAAGAATCTGCCAGTGCCTTGCGGACTCAGCTTGTTGCCGGACACTGGAGGCAAGTTTTTATGGGCGATGGCTCCCAGCCTCCCTCCAGTGATGTGAACGTTGGTTTATATGGAATTTAATGATATACATATATATATGTGTGAATATGAATATGATGATGATGATGATGACGACGACGACGACGATGATGATAGTGATAATGATGATGAATGGCAAATGCTGGCTGTTACAAATGGTTCGTAGATCATTTTGCTTGTAAAACCCACATGTTTATCTAGTTCGATATATTTAGCTAGTTATGTTCACCTTAGCCTTCGAAAACAGTGGCCTCGGCTTGGGATATTCAGCCTTCAATGGGGATGGGTCATGACACCTCAATGGCCCCGATGTGTGGGGGATGACATCCACAAATTCCAGCTACACCAGGGTTTTCTGCATGTCCTGGAATTGGGTGTAAAATTGGCAGGAAAGACTTATCTGGGAACCTAGGTTATCATTTTTTCACTGGGATTTTACGACCTTTCTTGGGGGTTGCTGAGTTTAATACTTAAGAAAAACTTGGGTTTGCCGTACATTCTCCTGTAAAACATCATATACCACTCCATGGAATCAGGTGGTCAGATGGCCTCAGGGATGTCCATAGAGGTTTCCCAACAGAATGGGTCTGCCAATTTCGGTGTCAACCACCTTTACCCTCGGGTAAATAGCACAGTTATGGAAATGGTTTCCCAACAGATCTTAGGAAAATGATACACGGGTGGATTCCATCGTCTAATTTACTGAAGAGTAAGAGTTGTTGGTGTTGAATGATTAGAGTTTCTGCGGGTAGGGAATTCCCATAAATCTAATCCCCTGAGTCGCCAACTCACCAGTCCTCCCTTTAAAGCAGAAAAGGCCAGTATTCCTATTCTCCATCGGCTTCCACCCATTCTCTGAAAAAATCCCTATACTCCACCGGTCATCGCCAGGCCAAGCCATATTCGGCCAGACCAATGGCTTTCACAAAGCTCCATGACCGGTGAACCGGTGGAAGAAATCCCCCTGAAGCGATGAAAATTGGAGGTACCGATTCCACATAAAAAAGGCCATAAAAGGCCTATGTTTCAGGGAATGTCCTCACAATTTTTTTGGCGTGAAAAATAGTACGTTTACGTACCTCCATTTTTTGGGATCCTGAAAATCTCCCATTGATTGGTGATGATCCATGGAAGTTCTACATAGTTCGACTACCTGGATCCACATCATCCACATGGAAGCCATTCGAAACGGTAGGCCCTCTAGGCTGCATCCATATCTGGTTGGTGGTTTGGAACATTTTTCCATATATTGGGAACAATAACCCCAACTGACTTATATTTTTCAGAGGGGTAGGTATACCACCAGCCAGGTATAATGTGGTAAACCCAATAATGAACCATCCCCAATCTCATCATGAATGGAATTTTATGGTACGGGTATATCTGATCACCAAATGGTAGGTTTATCATTGGGTTTTCCGCATGATTGTCCGTATGTTAGTATACGATCAGTGCATCTGGACAGATCATAATCATTCACTAACCTGAAAGCTTCGTCCATATATCGACCCCACCAGTGAGCTCACTGCAATTTACCCAGAAATTAATCCCATTAAATCGTTGTTAATCATTATTAATCATCATTTAAATCATGATTAACCAAGATTAATCATCATTTAAGTCATGATATATTACCCAGATGTCTGTCAACATCATATTGAATCATATTGAATCACATATTCAGCCAGAAAGCATAGCCAGTCCTTCCAAGAGTTCCAAGGCCAAACCGTAGAACGTTTCCCGCGCGGGAGTCCTCAGGACTTGCTTTGCCACGGCTTTTAACGACCCGCTGACGGGTTTGACACGGACATAGAGCCGTTTTGAACGGAATTATAATGATCATTTCATGGGAATTGATTCGGATCTACAACAAACTTGATATGATATGACATGGGTAACCGCCTCGTGTGCGCACGGGATTTTAGCTCGCTGGTGCACAGGATGGCCAGACTCGCCTGTGCACGGGATGCACCTTCGTTCATTCATTCATTCATTCAGTCATTCAGTCACTCATTCACTCATTCACTCACTCACTCACTCATTCATTCATTCAATCATTCATTCATTCATTCATTCATTCATTCATCTTTTTATTTTCATCTTCATCTTCATACTTATCATCATCATCATCATTATCATCATCACCATCATCACCATCATATCATCATCATCATCATCATTGTCATCATTGTCATCATCATCCTCGTCGTCATCATCATCATCATCATCAAAGCTTCTGTGTGTAAGACCTTGCTCCCCCCTATTCCTCCCTGTTCCCCTGTTCCCCCCCTTTTCCCCTAATTAATACACCTAAAGGGTTGTTTCTCTTATGTGGCCTTCCCCTTGCTCCCCCCTGTTCCCCTGTTTCCCCCCTGTTCCCTCATTTATACACCTAAAGGTCAGAGGCTCATAGATGGTTTCCTGTGCGCAGGTGAGTCTGTATCCTGTGCCGGTGAGTCTCGTTTCCTCTGCGCAGGTGAGTCACTTTCATGTGCGCCGATGAATCCTCTTCCATGTGATATGATATTTGGATGTGTCTGAAACTGGATATCCATCATATGGCCATGTAAGAGGGAAAATGATGATAAACAATGGGGTTTGGGGGTACCCTATTTCCATACAAACCCCCCTGAGACTTGATCGGCATTTACCAGCTGTACTGCAGTGAGCAATGGCTGGGAAATCCCTGTTGCGTAGTTCAGGGATTCTATTGAGCAATATTCCATCCCCTCAGTATCAAACACCCCGATTCCCATGGTCCCAGTGTTTGGTTTCATCTCCTACATTCACCATGATTTCTAGCCAAGGGGGGTGGAATCGCTTAAGCTTTTCGGGGGATGACATCTGGGAGGAATGACTCCCAGACGGCTACTGGTATGGTTCAAAAAATTGGCTTTATGTCATAGGTCAGTCGCTGGTTCTGATCCATAGATGGTTATAACTTTCTGCGCAGCTGAAAATTGAGCTGATCCTAAGAACTCCAATTGATTGGATTGACAACAGAATATACCTGGATCTTGGCATGGTAAATTCTGGCTAAATCCTTTTTTGGTACATGTTTGCCAGTAGTACCGCACAAGGCGGTGGCAGAAGTTTCAGAGATAGGAAACTATAGGGAGAGGTGCGTTGTTGCGATGCATGGATGGCAGAGCGAATCCATTGATGGACCGAAAGGTGGTTTTGATTTTTGGTGGTTGCAGTGGTCACCTCACCCACATCTGCAGGATGTAGTGTGGTGTAGCGAAGTGCAATGTAATTGCAGTTGTAGTTGTAGTGGTAGTTATAGTTGTAGTGTACTGGTAGTTGTAGTGTACTGGTAGTTGTAGCTGTAGCTGTAGTTGAAGTCAAGTGTAGTCTAGTGTAGTGCAGTGCTAGTTGTAGTTGTAGTCGTAGTGTAGTTGTAGTGTTGTTGAAGTTGTAGCTGCAGTTGTAGCTGCAGTTGTAGATGCAGTTGGAATTGTAGTGTGGTTGTTGATTTGTTGTTGTAGTTGTGGTAAATGCTGTAGTTGTAGTTGAAGAGTAGTTGAAGTTGTTGCTGTAGTCGTTGTTGAACTGAAGTTGAAATTGTGGTTGTAGCTGTAATGTAGTTGAAGTGTAGCTGAAGTTGTAGTTGTAGTTGTAGCGTAGTTGAAGTGTAGTTGAAGCTGTAGCCGTGTTGTAGTGGTAGTTGTAGTTGTAGTGGTAGATGTAGATGTAGTTGCAGCCGTAGTGGTAGTTGGATTTGTAGCTGTAGAGTAGTGTAATGTATTTCGTGTAGCGTAGTGTTGTGTAATGTAGCGTAGTGTAGTTGTAGTTGTCGTCTAGTGTAGTGTAGTGTAATGCAATGAGTGTAGTGTAGTGCAACGGAGTGCAGTGTACTGTCATTAGTGTAGTGTAGTGTAGATTAGTGTAGTGTAGTGTAATGAGTGCACTGTAGCGTAGTATATTTTTTGCATCTGTAGTGTAGTGGTAGTCTGATGCGGTTGTAGTTGTAGTTGCAGTTGTAGTTGTCTAGCTATGTAGCTATCTAGCTATCAAGCTATCTAGCTATCTAGCTATCTAGCTAGCTATCTAGCTCTCTAGCTAAGCTAGCTATCTATCTGTCTGTCTATCTATCTATGTATCTATCTGTCTGTCTATCTATCTATCTATCCATCTATCTAATCCTATCTATCTAATCCTATCTATCTATCTATCTATCTTATCTTCTCTTATCTTGTCTTGTCTTGTCTTGCCTTGCCTTGCCTTGTCTTGTCTTGTCTTGTCTTGTCTTGTCTATCTGTCTGTCTATCTATCTATCTATCTAACTATCTATCTATCTATCTATCAATCTATCTGTCTGTCTGTCTATCTGTCTATCTGTCTATCTGCCTATCTGCCTATCTGCCTATCTGCCTATCGGCCTATCTGTCTATCTATCTATCTATCTATCTGTCTATCTGTCAGTTTGAAATCGAAGCAATTCTGCGAGACTTCCTCATCTTGTGAACTTGATAACGTCAAAGACGAAGCATTTCTGCGAGACGTCCTCAATTTCTGAAGTTGGCAACATCAAAAACGAAGCAATTTTGCGAGACTTCCTTCGATAATGGAAAGTTGAGTGCAGAGCTGACGGCCTCGTGCCAATGCGTTTTGCGTTTTTTCAGTCCATGTCTCTAAAGTATTGCGCCTGCCACGAAAAGTGATGCCAGGTCATACGAAGTGCTGCACCTGTCACGCAAAATCATCTTCCCAAAACTGAAGATCTGATGCTCCAAAACGCAACCCCTCTCAGGAAATCAGCGCCCTGACCCCCTAATATCTCTGACGAACATCATGTCTCCTGTGCTGCACCCGCCACTCAACATGCATCTTTGAAGATCCTCTTCAAAAGCCCCACGCCTGCCAACGCGTTTCAAACTGCTACAAAACCCTCACGTTTTGCTCACTGTTGACAAGATGCAAACTCCCGTGCGCCTGCCACGCAAAACGACATCTGAACATCCAAAGGTGCTCCGAACCCTACAGTTTTTTGGGCCTCTCGTGTCTCCAGGAGCGTGAGCATCTGGAGGTGAAAGAGCAGCGGTTGCAACGGGGAGAGGACGGGGACGCCGGCAGAAAATTGATGTATTTTTGTGGTCAGCGCTTGAATCGACTTGCCGACCCTTTACACCACAACCAAGCAGAATTCAGAGTGGAAGCAGGATTGTCAGTGGCGCCCCTTTGCGCAAATGTTTGTTTTTCAAACATCGCATCTGTCGTTGTTTTAGCCTCGGTTACTTTATAATCATCCCTTACAAGCAGACACAATCTACCTTATGTGTAGGCTTGGAACTTCGCCGCAGCAAAACATTATGGCACTGAATCCTTTCCCTCGAATGTGAAATACCCTTGAGTGGTTCCCCCACATGAACAAACCCAATACTAAGCAACAGTTTTCAACAGGGTATTTCATATTAGGACGGGATTCCAACTTGATCGTGTGCCAGATATCCACGAAACTGACATGTTTTTTCCAGATATCCAGAAAAATATGTTTGGATGCTCCCCACTAAGGTATCGAAGGGAAAACACTGGAATCTGAAACGGTTTTATTCTTGTCGTTTTCCCAGCAACTCCAAGAAGTGCAGAGCATCCAAGTGCTCCGACTGGGTTGATGCATGGGAAGGAAAAACGACAAAGTTCCATAAGTTACAAAAGGAAGTCACCGGAAAGTGGTATGTGCACCGGGGAAAATAGACCTTCCTATGGATAGGATTGGGGTATCCCAAAATGGCGTTTTTCCAAACGGTCGTTTTTTCGATTGTTTGGCCACAGATCATCAAAAAGTCATCATGGTGAGTTAGTGTTGAGATAGCAATCATAGCAATCATAGCAATCATACCAATCATGATGATATATGATGCTAAGTTCATTGGGCATGTGTCATTTTCATGTCATGTGTCCAGATCAGAAGCTTCACCGATGATCTGTATGACTCGCCTGTGTCAGGAGCACCGTCGTACCGTCATGGTGGGCCAAATCCCACGAAGTTGCGATGTCTTTTGGCAAATTTCAGCTGGAACTTGGAGGATCGATGTCAGGGTTAGTACAAGATGGGGCCCCCGAGCTCGCGTTCAGTTGATATATGGCTAAGTGATGCTAAGTGGCTGAATGAACTATATGGTTTATGGTCCATATAAGAATAGCATTCATGGGGGTTACAAACCAACCAACATCACTAGGGGCACCATCCCAAGTTGCGGGTAGTAAAAAAACGTAGATTTGCTGAAGATGATGATTTTCCCATGGTTTAATCTACCATTTGGGGAATCTACTAGGATTCTTTTTATTTTTGTTGCACCCCTTGAGCTAATCCAAGTATATAAGGGTAACTGGCCTCCAGGTACAAACTTGATAAGCCACACATCGAGAACTTATTGACTCACCAGGATGATGAATCAATCACCTGCTAAGATTTGGGGACGGTGAGCGCTTGGATGTCGGTTCATCGCATGTCTAGAAAGTTGGGATCATCCAAGGATTGAAAGTGAAAAATATGTCAAACCACCAAGCAGATATTGGTTGTCCCCCTCGTTTCGCCATTTCTTTGGATTGTTTTGTCCCCATGGCTGATACCTCTTCACTGCAACCATAGCTGCCAAAGCGGGTCGCATCACCAGATCAGGGGGTTCATCCCCATGGCTAAGCCGGCTAAGCTGGTTTGGAACACCAATACCTTGTCTTTAATGCGTTTATAACTATAGTTTAATAATCATTATATGATAGTAAATACTTATAGCTATTTACAATTATATATTAAACATGTCTATAGCTATCCAATGGTCATTATAAGTATTTGGTTGCATTTATAACTCGAGTTTATGGGGTCTTTAGCCAACAAAAATCAAACCTTTCGGGATATCCCAGACCTACTTAGGCCATTCAGATCCTGGATGCTTTGCACAGTCTTGGCCTCATGCGGAGGCCGTGCACGGTGACCGGGGGGCCGAGATCGGATAGGGGGACTTAACCATCATAAAGATGTCTTAAGCATCAAAACTATGGGTGTATATATATATATCTCTCTCGATATTTTCTAAAATAGGAGTACCCTGAAATCATACATTTAATGGGATTTTCCATTATAAACCGTCCTTTTGGGGTACCTCCATTTATGGAAACCCCCATACATATATAGTTATAGCAACCACAAGTCATAGAAAAGTGGGAAACCTGGAAACATGATGTGTCATCGAACTAACATCCTGCTTTCACGCTGTCCAGCTTTTTGGGGGGGATTGCTATAATGATATCAGTTATAAATGATGGTTGATTGGTTCTGAATGGGGGGGTTATATTGGGGATGCTCATAACATCCATGCCAGGAGGGGGTTAACCATCATAAATACGGAATGATATGAGCATATAATTTGATAAAGCCCTGCTATTGGTTGACTATATGGGGTTGGTAATCTACCCGTAGATATCGGTTCAGGATATAATGGGCATGTAATTTGACCCTGATTTATTAGGCGGTTGACTATCAACCTATGTTTTTTGTTCATGAAGGATGGATGGCTGGTTGATGACAGATTGGGAATTAACAATAAGACATGGTAATATGTTTGATAGATGTTGGTTGATGGTTGATATGGGGGGGTGTTTTCCTACCTTGTTCATTGATGTTTTTTGGGGCTTGTCATAATCCGATTGACTTGGGAATCCTGTGCCTAACCAAGCACTTTCACGGGATGACATTTCGGGTTTGCAACACTGCTCAATAGTTGTTGGTATGAGGGGTGAAGATGGGTTGTTTCTTGAACTATTTTGATGGGGGAATATCTTCAATCCATTCTGGATAAGTTACCTCGCGCCGCGACCTCACTTCAATGATTGTCAATAAGGGAAAACATTCCACAATAGCCTTAATAACAGGTTTGTGAATTATTGAAATTGATCAAACGTGGCAAAAAGGGCAATACCCCATTGATCGATGATTTTCCGATCTCCATTTATGATGGATTTTTGGCATTGCCATGTTTGATTACCGGTGGGTATTATGACTTATCCATATCCATTGCCAACCTGTTTCGACTTTTTGTGAGTTGCCCAAGATCAACCGTGATTTGAAAGGCCTGGGTGCCACGGGTAGAGTGCCACATTTGCCACGGGCTTCGGCCTGGAGAATAAGGGAAGGTCAGTCCTAGATGTGAAGATGAATGAGCTTCCCATGATTTCCCACATGTGTCTGAAAATTGGTAATTGGCAGTTGAATAGAGAAATGAGGTTCTAAGCCATGAAATTTGGGACTTTCGACCAAGCCACGTGGACAGCCGCTGGACATGTTTGAAGTGAGCGACAGCTCGGCCGTTTCAAACATGATTGTAATATGGCTATGGGTCAAAGCCTGGTACCTAGTGAACCCGTTCTTTTTTGTGGTTTTGGTAATCCCACTAAAATGTCGATCAGAATAGGTTTTGACCCATCCAAAACTGCTTGGTGTTTTGGAACATGTTTTTCCCATATATTGGGAATGTCATCATCCCAACGGACTCCATCATTTTTCAAAGGGGTAGGGCTCAACCACCAATTAGATCCCCTCCGATACTGGAATCACCTCCATCTCGATGATTTGTCCGGAGGCTGCTTCCCCTCCGACTGATCATAGTTTTAATGTGTGAAGGATATGAAACACTATTTTGGGGGGGATCCTCAAAAAATCTCTTATGTTGATATAATCCCTTCCCCCTAATAAGGTTCCCCCTAGAGACCATGCTTTAGAAGGCCGCAAGGCTGCGACCTTACCATCGGTAGTCAGGTCCTGAAATTTCAGGTTTCCTAAAATGGTGGTACCCCAATATCTGGATGGTTTATTTCATGGAAAATCCTTCTATAAATGGATGAGTTGGGGGTACCCCTATTCAAGGAAACCCCAAATTTCAGGTTGGTGAATGATTATAATTCAGCCACAGATCATTATAGTCACACTAGTGTTAAGATAGCAATCAAAAATCATGATGATAATGCATTGGGCATGTGTCATTATCATGATGGCCATGTGTAGTCATCATTCATCAGTGTTTAATGGTTTAATGACTATAGTGTCTGAATGTATTTGATTTTGGTATCGTAGTCAGCATTCTAAGTATTGCCACCATTGAAGGTTGCATTAGTCATGTATTGTTTGTTTTTATGGATGCGACGGTCAAGCCCGTATTACGGCCCGATTCACTTTGATTGCATACCCTTTCAAATTGGTTGGTAAATGTCGCCAAAACCGGGAAATTCAACTTCAGGGGGTCACCATGGTAGTCGTTCCCATGCAAAAGAGTTACTGTACTTCCTTATCTTTCTATTGATGTTGATGTTGGTTATAGTGATTTATATTTGTGATATCCCCAGGTCTCCCTATTGTATCCCCAAAAGAATCCGAAATTCTATCCCCAGTCATGGTGATTGCAATCATAGTACTGTTTGGGTAGATATTAAACCCTTGCTTTACATCATAACCATGGCAGTTAGTCCCTCATATAATATATAATTTATATATATATGCATTATTTCACATATATATATGTATATATTAATATATATATATATTATTAAATACATATATATATATATTATTATTAAATACATATATATATTGTGTATATATTCAATACATACCATGCATCATCATCATCATCACCATGGTAGTGTAGCCGTCCCGAGCTGTGCACTGCGGCCAGGCTTTGCTTCTTTTACCTCCCCGTGGATCGTGCGCGGCGGCGGCATTGCGGTTACGTTCCTCGACGATGAATTTCGGATGGGTCAAGCCATGGGTTTTCGTTGTTACCCACTGTTAAACTAATATAACTATGGAAAATCACATTTTTTGATGGGTAAATCCACTATCTCTATGGTCATTTTCAATGGCTATGTGGTGGTTAACTATAACATACTATAACTATAGCTGGTTGGTGGTTTGGAACACTTTTTCCATAATATATGGGATAATCCTTCCCATTGACGTTCATATTTTTCAAGGTGGTTAAAACCACCAACCAGATAATATTGTGATTATGGTTATTACTGGTAGTATTACATGGTTTTTGGTAGTTGTCAATAATTAGATGGCTGATGATTATCCAAGTATTGACATGTGTTACCCATTGTATACCCATTATATTATCATATACTATCCATTATGTAAATATATATATATATATGTTCATTATGATATTCGTATATGAAATGTATGTATTTAGTATGAACCATCTAATCTAATTTAATTATAGTACTATGACCATAGTGGCTACCATAGATTCTACTAATGCTAAATAATAATATAAATATAGTTGATACCACAGATATGACATGTATATGTTTAGTACGAACTATCTAACTATTGCATTAAAGGGGCACCTAATTTTGACCTATACCCATACTAGCTATGTTGTGCGGATCTAATGGGGGTGTAATGAAGATATAATGAAGATACATTTCTATATGATGGGAGATAATGGCATATAGACATGTAAATATGATATAACTCCGGATGGATTAGTTACTTACTCTTCTTTCTACTATCATTTGTAGGAAAATATGGGGTACACTCGATGAACACTATGTTTGGTTCGTGTGTTTGGGGGCACGAGTTCACTGGTCCATGCCATTTTCTGGAGGTTTGTTCCAGCTGTTGCAGCGCCCCAGGCATTCATCGAGTTCAATGACCCAATGGATGTATTGAGCTTACATCAGTGCCTGGCCATGGGCGACCAACATCGACCATGTTTAGGATCAGGATCATCAGGATCTGGTTGGTGACTGGAACATGGCTTTTATGACTTTCCATATATTGGAACGTTTTTTTGGTTTGGTTGGTGGTGAATTATTGGTAACTGCTGGTTTGGAACCATGGAATTTTATGACTTTCCATTCAGTTGGGAATGGAAAATCATCCCAACTGACTTTCACTCCATCATTTTCAGACGGGTAGGTGGCTCAACCACCAACCAGATTATTATTAACCATCATTATCCATATAATAACCATATATTAACTATATAAGTGACCTATTGATCCTGGATGATAATGGTGGTTTTCGGGTTTCTCCATGTTTCTCCATGCCCCAATTCCACTGGATTCGAAAACTGGTTCCCATAAATTTGTCATGGGCAGATCGATAGGTCCACAGATCCACAGACTATGAGATTTCTGACAGAATAAACTATCACTATTTATAATTAAAGTTGTGATTTCTGACTAATCATGACCATTACCCAGCCTGGTAAACTAACAGTCTGCGAACTTGAAAATGGCCCAGTCGAAATAGTGGATTTATCCATGAAAAATGGTGTCCATAGTTTTTTGTATGTTTACCAGAGGGTATTATTCTATTATCATAATTTTATAGTTTGAGTTTATTATCATCATTTTCCTAGTTAAGGTTCCTCTGGCGTATCCGGTATTGTTTCGAACGTTGCAGCTTGGTGACCATTGAAAAAATCCGCCACAACTTGGGTTTATGGTACAATGTGGGGCCCCCAAACGATAGCTAAGTTGGCCAATAACTCCAATAACTATGGAATATCATGAATATCATACGCAAATAACCATGATTTTCATGGTGTTTATGTTTATAAATCAACGTTCACATCACTGGAGCGGCACTGGAACGGCACCACATTTTTCAGGTGGTGCCCCAGTTCGCTCGCTAAGCTGGGGTTCACATAACTCCAATTTCACTAGGGTTGCTTTGTCATACATATAACTAGTGAATGGAGGTGAAAAACCAACTTGTAACTGAGTCTGCACCAAAGAGTTATACTTGTAAATAATGTAAATATATAGAGATCTTACTTGATTGTAGCTAATATCAACCTCCGCAAAGCTTCACCAACCATCCATTTGTGAAAAGGGATGGTTTTTGGGTCTACGTTCAGCCGGCCTGACTTTCGGATGGTTCAACATTATCATATCCAAAAAAAAAACATGGAAGAATCGGATGTTTCCTGCCGGAGATCTGATATGTGAGATGTTTTTGGCAGGTCATTTGGCGATGATAAAAACTCCCAGCTTCCAGGTCCTTGCCGACACTGGTGCGGATGTTATGTAGAAACAACGAACGACCGATGCATGTGTCCTTCGGCCGAAAATCTGGTGAAATGTGGTGAAATCATGCGGATATCAACCAGGATAACAACCAGTGCCCATTCAACAAATGTAGGCTAAATGATGATAAAGCATGAAAATTGTGGGTAGCCTAGTGTCAGACATACGAAAATATCTTGCGATTTAAATCGGGCTATGTACTAACCAGCTAAATGTTAATCGTTTTGGAGCGTGTATAAGATTGTCCATGATATTGAGAACTACAACGACTTCACCATTGTTGGTTTGGATTGGGTGAATCAACCCCAGAACTGTCATAGATTGCTCGGCACATTTGAAAGATCGAGGTTTTCCAAATATTAGATTGTATATCTGTATGAGGTATATGGTATATCTATATTAAGTAAATATGGGTTTCAAACGCCAATATATATATATACATATTATATATTTATTGAGTATATGTATATTATATATTTCTATATAAAGAAAAAGAAACACCAAGGCTTTATGCTTTAGGGTGTCTCTGAGAAACGCCCCCCAAAAGTGACAGGATCATCCTATGAAGAACTGGTCACCTGTGGTAAGAGCTAAATTGCTGAAGATTTCACCGGTGAAGTCCATGGTTTATGAATGTTTTATATGTAGATATACCCATACTTGGGGTTTATAAACCAACAAAACAATGTGATTGGTAAAAACATCATCCAACAAACCAAAGAAAAATGATTCAGCCTTGTGAAAACCATCATGAAAACCTTCGTTTCTTCAAACCTTTAAGGGCTGTCCCTTGAATGTCTACCGGGCCTCTTCCGGATCCATCGGATCCATCGTCCCGAGGCACTTTGCACGAATACAAGGCTGGAGGCACCGTTTTTGTTTTACGGCAAAAGATGAAAGGATCAAAGCAACAAAGGATGGGATTTTTTTTAATGGAAAAATTCCTGCTATGAATCATGAAATATCATGAATAATATGGGATTATGGTAATAAAAAAAAATGTTATGATTATGGGATTATGGTATCATTGGATTGGTTTTGTAGGGAAAATCTTAACCGGAAACCATGTTTTTTACCATTAGATATGGAAGTTTCCGATTAAAATTTTCCTGTGAACTAATCCAATGAAGGTATTTACTGCTGTTAACATGTATTAACCATGAAAGATTGTGATGTTTCATCGAATATTAATTTCGGCGATTAAGATAAATCTGGTGGAGAAAACCGGATGAATCACTGTTGGGGTTCTGAGATTGCAATGACTCCATGGCAGTTGTTCAAGGGAAGTTCAGCCGATGAAAATCGATTAAGCACCAAAGAAGTACTCATGACTCGGGGCGTGTTTTTTTGCGGGTAAAAAAATCGGCGAGAAAACGGATGAAAAAGTGGTTTCATCCTATAAAGCGTATAGAGGGGGAAGATTGGGATGTAGGGATCCAACCATAGAACTTGGACTTTTTGGGTTTGACCCCAGGGCAGAGAGATGCCCCAAGTATAAAGAAGATTTGCGATAAGGAAAACCATAACATGTGTTTTTTTAATGTTAAGACGAAGCCATTTCTGGTGTTTTTTCATACCGCTAATCAAACATAGATTGGAAAATCCTCAATGGTCATTCCAGGATCCTAAAATGGAGGTACTGTACCATATTTTTGGCCTTATATATGGTAGGTACCTCCAATAAATCGGTTCCTGCGATGGCCAGTGAAATCCCACAGAGAGAAAGATGATTTTCCGCTGCCATCCTGCGGAAGTAATGCAGGTTTGGGCCTTCAAAATACCTCTGTTGATGGGTTAAAAAGAGGGGGGTTAGACGATTTTTTAGACTAAGTATTAATCAAACTATCAAAAATTACCAGTAGAAAATATGAACCAACCCACCATGGCAATATCAACCAACCCGTATTTCATGTGAAAACAATATGAAAATGGACGATTTGGTCATGGCGACTGTCCCACTGGATCCAATGTTTGCTGGTCGTATCCTCCATGACTATAGAAAATGCCTAGAAAATGCCTGGTGTTATACATACCATTACATTTAATATTACTTATTACATTGACATCCCTATCTTTGCTGGTATTTAACTTTTATCCCCATGACATGTCACCAGCACGGGTTGTCCGCGTTAGGACTTTCATTCGAACGATGGTGAATGACTTGAACTTCATTTTCGAGCCCAACGCCTCTCAGCGAAGTCGTGCGATGTCCAGGTAAAAGATGGTCGAGCCAAACCAATAAACGTATGAATTACTAGGTCAATCTTGGATGGGTAGGGACTCATCCTTTTGCAGGGTATCTAAGATTGGCCATGATTACGACGACCTCACTGCGACGTCACTGGAATGATGGTTAGTAAGGGGAACCAGCCCCAAATGATCTTATTTCAGCTTATATAGTGAATTAGTATAACTTACCCAGAATAAAGCACCATTTTTGGAGGTTTCAGGAAAAAATGGCAATGGTACCCACTGGTAATCAAAAATTGCAATGGAAAATCCATCATTTATACAGTAATTAGATGATTTTCCCAGCTACTAACCTCCATTTCTAGGGGATTTTCCTTTGCCTTGTTTGATTACCGGAGTGTAGGTTAGTGTGGCTTACAACTGGGTGTGCAAAAGTTTCTTGTTTTTTCGGTCCTAAGAATGGAATGAGTGGGTTTGCATTCACGAAAAAATTGGGGAATGGGTCGCTCAATACAATAATTTGGAACGTTGGAAAGATGCAACTGATACAGTGTAGAAAAGACATGAAAAATGACATAATTCATCATAATTCTCAGTATCTACACAAAATAGTGCATGTTGAGCTTTTTTTTCTCCATGACGACGCTGTCTTCTTTTAGCACCGTCCCGCTTGAGGCCAACATTCGGCCGCAATTATTTTTGCCGCAAAGCAGGCTCCCGAAACAAGTCACTTAGCGCCCGGTTGGAGCTTGGAACTTGGAAAGGTGGCGAAAGGTGATGAGAATGGGTAAATAATGGGTAAATACTGGTAAATGATGTCGTGACACGAAAAGTGACAGGTCACCCTGCAACCATGATTTTTGGCGGGGAATCATCCCCACTGGTCGCCAGTTTCGGGGGAAATTTGATCATTTACCCAGAGAGTGATGGTTAAAAGACCAACATAATATAGGGCCATGGCCGATTCTACTTAGAGGGTCACCCGCTTAGTAACTGGTGAGTTTTTATGGGATTATAATTCGCTTCTAAATGATGTAACCCAGGATTTATAGACTTGACCGGTGTTACGTTCACCAGTAAGGCTCAGTCGTAGGCTTTTGAGCCGAATGAAATGATCAAGCCTCGCATCTATAACGGGTTCACTTCGGCTGGGATTCTGTAATAAAAGATGGCGCCGTTGACGCTAAAAAATGCTACATGTTCATGTTAAAACTCAGGCCGTTGACCGAAAAGAGAACTGCAAATCATGATGAAGAAATCACAAACGACTTCGTTTCCAGGAAATGTTGCTGAAAAGCCGTACACTTGGCCAGACCATACATGGCAAAAAAACATCTGAATTGTCCTGTAATTTTCTGAATTAGATAATAAGTGTCATCCAATAAACTGGTCAATGCTGATTCGCAAATCCCAGATGGGGGTTAAGAGATTGTCTACTGGATTTCAATTTCAACCTTTTGTGCCTTCCGTTCGGATTGTTTCATATGGCGATTTCAGTTGCCACGTTTGATTACCAGGGGGAGTTTATATATATATATATAGATATAAATATTATTATTATTACTATTATTATTATTATGTATATATATATATATGCTTGCAGGCGGGTTCGCCATAGTATCGCATCAGCCTATCATCTGCGACACCTCGACTCAGCCGATAGTGGCGATCTCGGCAGACAGCTCGAGGATCCCCCAGTGGATCATGGACTTGCTGAAGGGCAACTACGACGGCGACAGGGTGATGCTGGCCTTTCTTAAGGCAGAGATCGCAAAGAGAATGTTCTGTACGTTCAGCAGGATCAAGATGAACCCCAACTATGGGACGTCGTTTGTCCCCGACACGGTCGGGACACCCATCTGCGACCTGTTCAAGGCAGCAGTCGAACGAGGTAGCAGGATGGTCAGACCACTCAGCGCAATTGCAGCGAAGAGCACCGGGCGCGCGCCAGGCAGAAGCGTCACACGCGGCGAGCTCAAACAGATGGCGTCGATTCAGTGGATACACGACCACCTGCCCAAGAGTCTAGAGATAAGGCAGAGAGCCCGAGAGTCTGCAGTTAACAGGCGAGATGTCTCGCAGTACTCAGTAGACCTTGCTTTCAAGGGATGGCAATGATATTATGATGTGTATATATATATATATGTTTGTATTCGAAATGAATCACCCATAATCATCCTCATCCCATAAATCCCAAGTTCGGAAGTTTATCATTGGATGGGATGGTTGAGATATGGTGGGATCTGGATAAACTATAACGACCTCACTGCAAAGTCCCTGTAATATTCTGTAGTAATGGTTCCTAGGCAAATATGTTTCACAGGAATTCTCTGCTTTCACGCACGTAAATCATCATAATTCATCATGATTCATCCAGAATCGATGTGGTGAAGCCAAAAATAAACAATCCGAAAAAAAAATTGGGGGGGCCTGGGTTTGGCATGGTTTGGCCCTTGCTGTGGATGATTCGAGCAACCCTGAAATGGAAAATACCTGGAAATCATTCAGCCAAATACTTGGATCTATCTGGTGCGAATACACTGTGAGCCCCAATGTATTATATATACACACACATATTATATAACTATATTATGTATATAACTACCATCTAGAATATAGATAGATAGATAGATAGATACATTTAATACATTAGATAGATAGATAGATAGATAGATACATTTAATACACTAGATAGATAGATAGATAGATGGATAGATAGGTAGATAGATAGATACATTTAATACATTGGATAGATAGATAGATAGATAGATCGATAGATAGATAGATAGGTAGGTAGGTAGGTAGGTAAGATAAATAGATAGATAGATAGATAGATGGATAGACATATAGATACATAGATACATTAGATAGATAGATACATTAGATAGATAGATACATTAGATAGATAGATACATTAGATAGATAGATACATTAGATAGATACATACATTAGATAGATAGATACATTAGATAGATACATACATTCGATATATAGATACATTAGATAGATAGATACATTTGATAGATAGATACATTAGATAGATAGATACATGAGATAGAGAGATAGATAGATACGTGAGATAGATAGATACATGAGATAGATAGATAGATCGATAGATAGATAGATAGGTAGATAGGTAGATAGGTAGATAGGTAGATAGAGAGAGATAGGTAGATAGATAGATAGATAGATACATTTAATACATTAGATAGATAGATAGATAGATACATTAGATAGATACATACATTAGATAGATAGATACATTAGATAGATACATACATTCGATAGATAGATACATTAGATAGATAGATACATTTGATAGATAGATACATTTGATAGATAGATACATGAGATAGATAGATACATGAGATAGATAGATACATGAGATAGATAGATAGATAGATAGGTAGATAGGTAGATAGGTAGATAGGTAGATAGGTAGATAGGTAGATAGGTAGATAGAGAGAGATAGGTAGATGGATAGATAGATAGATAGATAGATACATTTAATACATTAGATAGATAGATAGATAGATGGATAGATAGGTAGATAGATAGATACATTTAATACATTAGATAGATAGATAGATAGATACATTTAATACATTAGATAGATAGATAGATAGATGGATAGATAGGTAGATAGATAGATACATTTTATACATTGGATGGATAGATAGATAGATAGGTAGGTAGGTAAGATAAATAGATAGATAGATAGATGGATAGACATATAGATACATAGATACATTAGATAGATAGATACATTAGATAGATAGATACATTAGATAGATAGATACATTAGATAGATAGATACATTAGATAGATAGATAGATTAGATAGATAGATACATTAGATAGATACATACATTAGATAGATAGATACATTAGATAGATACATACATTCGATAGATAGATACATTTGATAGATAGATACATTTGATAGATAGATACATTAGATAGATAGATACATGAGATAGAGAGATAGATAGATACATGAGATAGATAGATACATGAGATAGATAGATACATGAGATAGATAGATAGATCGATAGATAGATAGATAGGTAGATAGGTAGATAGGTAGATAGGTAGATATGTAGATAGGTAGATAGGTAGATAGGTAGATAGAGAGAGATAGGTAGATAGATAGATAGAGATGGATAGATAGATAGATAGGTAGATAGATAGATAGATACATTTAATACATTAGATAGATAGATAGATAGATACATTAGATAGATAGATACATTAGATAGATAGATACATTAGATAGATACATACATTCGATAGATAGATACATTAGATAGATAGATACATTTGATAGATAGATACATTTGATAGATAGATACATGAGATAGATAGATAGATACATGAGATAGATAGATAGATAGATAGGTAGATAGGTAGATAGGTAGATAGGTAGATAGGTAGATAGGTAGATAGGTAGATAGGTAGATAGGTAGATAGGTAGATAGAGAGAGATAGGTAGATGGATAGATAGATAGATAGATAGATATAAGCTTGTATTGTCAACTGTTTTGCGGTTCCACGAGAAAGCCAAACGAAGGCTAGCTTTCTTTCCAATCCAAAAGCTACACCATCTTTCCCATCCTTTCCCATCTGGTCGGTTTCAAATAGTTGCTCCTACACTAAGAACTTTTTGGTAAATCAATGTCCACCATCTACCGTAAGAAAACTGATATTTGATCAAACATGTGTAAGTTAACCTCTGGTAATTTAACATAGCTATTGAAAATGGCACATTTATAGTTGATTTACTTAGTAAAAATTGTCATTTTCCACAGCTATGTTAGTTTACCAGATGGTAAACAACGGAAAAAATCATGAAAGCCTGGTTGGGGTGCATCGCAGTTAGGATCCGCGGGTGATCATCAAAGCCAATTTGATATGTTGAAACTTCCTCGGTTGGATGTGTTTTTTGGTTCCAAAAGAAAGGATAAAAATATACGGGAAACCTGGAAATATGTATTAAATATCATCGAACCAATCAACTGGAAACATTGTTTGGATTCCATTGCAGCCAAAGGCAAGCCTCCACGATCTTCTATTTCCCTCGAGCAGTATCATGCTGTGAAGGGCAGCTCGAATAGGATATCTCCTGCAGTAACCAGTCTGGTGAAGGGTGAAAGGTGTGATGAATTGTGTTGCTAAAAGTGGGGGGTCATCGTTGGTCCCCAGACATTTCTGTTTCATCTTTCAAGCTAGCCGTGGCTGCCTGAGGATGATATCATCTTAGTCGCAGATTATGACTTTTTAGAGCTACCCAGCAATTTGATTAGTCGCAACCCGGGTTGTTTCAATGTCGATGCCGGGGTTGGATTTATGGCAACCCCCCAAGAAGATTGAACGGGTCGAATTCACCACTATTTCTGTAGGATTTTACTTTCCTTTTGGATTCCTTTGGGGGGAAAGACACTAAATCTGTCTTTCCTATCTCTGCCTTTGCGCAAAAAAGTGGATTAGAACTTTCGTTGACAAAAAAGTTGGGTCTGATTAGTGACCGTTCCAAATCAGATGATTTGATATACCAAGTTTTTTTTGCGTGTGTGTCTAAAAATGGGGTATCTGAGCGGATTGCTAAACATGATCATAAGTTTGCATCGAATTCAGAAATCGCCTAAGGACAACCCCTTCTAGCCATGTTGATCGAATCTGTGCTATGACTGCACAGTATCTAAGAGCACGATATCAGGTGTTGCACCGGGTAGTTTGCGATATTTGCCATAAGCCCTAGTGATTGGAAGCAGTAAACGTAGCGATTCGGGCATCACATTGTACCCAATACTTGGGGACCTCACTAGTCGCTACTGAAAATGCTGGATTCATCGCAAATGTGAAATGTGTCCTGTTTACTAGGTCAATCCCACAAATGGGAGTTGTAGCCATCCATCAATGTGAATATAATGGGCATATAACTAGGTCATTCGACTGGATGGGTAGGGACTAATCCTAACTAGTCTTTTAGTAATGGGATTATCTACGTTCACCAGCTAAGAATCAGTCATTTTCTGCGATTGGCCATGTTTACCAGATGGGCCGCCCTACCAGTGATAAGTTGACTCATGATGAGTCAGCTTAGCTATTGCAAACAGGGGTCTCACCTCGCATCACTGGCTTGGTTTAGGGAAAATCTCAGGAAAGCTCCACCTTTTTTGACCCCTTTTGGTCAGTTTAGGACGTACCGTCTGCCAGGTTTGGTGACCAGAGCCTCTCGATTCACCACTTATATCATCCACGGTTCAGGGTGGTTCCACGGTGGCCTCATGGTTTCACTCCTGGTCCCAGATCCCACTGGTAACTGCGAACGAAACTTCACGCGTCCACCGCGTCCACAAGCCGTGGTATCTGCTGGCAGCCGGGCAGCTGGAGAGTCATGGTTTTGTTTGGATCCCTCCATTGCATTTTTTGGGCTCCCGGAGCTGAACCCAAAGCATCGACAGGGGGACATGGGGACATCTTAGTTTCACCGAGACATTGGAAAATCAACCCAACTGGGCTACCCTTAGCTGTTTTTTGTAAACGGCTCAATGGTAGGTGGCCTAGCCAGTTAAGCTAAGCAGCTAGTTTTGTTGTCAGGATATCTAAGTTTGGCCAAGATCATCTGGACTGGGTACCCTAGTCAGTCGTTAAACATACTAAAACGCTCCTGTTTTGAGGGGTGATTTGGGGCTACGCCAATTTGGAGGATTTTTCAAAATGGGAAGAAAACCCAGATTAGACTTAATTTTAGTATTTTTCAGCCTATGGGGGAAATAGGATCCCCCCAAAATAGGATACTTCGCTTCATCAATCCATCGGAACGTTGGGGAAAGCCAGCCAAGCAGCATCCTGGTGCCGCCATCGCTACCAAGCCATCGCTCAAAAAAATCTTCTCCCAGGATCCTAAGAGGAGAAATCCTATGGAATTTTCTACGAATGTGGAAATTCCCAATAAGAAACCTACCATTGGATGGTTTATACAAGCCATAAAAGGTGGTATTGGGGATTGAGTCTTATTGGGTTTACCACATTAGTATGAATGCAATTCATAGAGTAAACTCTCCCTGTCCCAAGATTGCTCATGATGAAGAAATGAACATCACCAGGACTTCAATGTGTAATCGATTAAATTAATGATTAATGATGATTGAATGGGGATTCGAATGGAATATAACCGACCATCAACAGGGATTTATTGGGGACTTAATAATGATTTATGCTGTTTACCACATGATTCAAGGCCATCGAAAGGGTGGTTGAAACTTGTGGGATGTTTACCACCTCTCAACTGGTGACCATCCACTGCCCAGTTTTTCACCGCTGTCCACCCACTCAGCGATCCCTCACAGCGGTGGGTTACCTGCGCCCGTCACACGGGCATGCGGACGACACACGACCGACGAAGCGAACCATGTGTGCATTCCACGCTTCCCTAAACGAAATCATAATATCAACACCTAATGCATATCATACGTATATAAATTTGGTAATTATAGTTACTCGTAAAAAGACAAAAGTGTGTGAGCTATCACTATTTTAGTAGGATTTGTCTTTTCGATCTTTTGGAGGGCTACGAAATACATTTATGTATATGTATATGTAGTATATGTATATGTATATATATATATATACATATACATATACATGTACATGTACATGTACATACACATACACATGTACATACATGTATATATATATATATATTGTTATACTATCCTCTATGAACTGGGCAATTAATCCCCAGAAATGAATCTGGTTGGTGGTTTCATTTTTATGTCCACCCATATTTGGGATGATGATCCCAAATGACTCGAATTTTCAGGGGCATCGAAACCACCATGTAGATCTGTGTATCAATGACCCGATGGGTGTTTTTTGGACATATAATTGGAGCATATAGAAAATAAATCTGGATCATATCCCACAAATATAGGCATGTAACTAATCAAGCGATGTTTGGTTTGGTGGCCTTTCAGGATTGCTGACATCTCTGAATCTCCGAGATGGGGATGGGTCAACCGAGTTGAAATTACGATATTTTGGGGTTTCCCATCCATAAACCAGCTACCCTCTGGTAAACTAAGAGTTTGCGAACTGAAAAATCACTAGTTTCATAGGTTTTTATCAACGAAATTTAAGGGCCATTTTCTATAGCTATGTGACAGTCATTACCAGAGGCTGGGGCTACCTAGGCCTTCGAAACTCATAGCCATATGGGACGATCACTTACATTTCACCATCGATATCTTGAAAAATCTATGGACCAAAAGGTGGCTCAATGATAGTGAGCTCACAACGTGAGTTGTCCTGATATAAAAAAATGCTTGGAATTAGCGTCAATTTCAGAGTAAATTGATGTAAATTGCCATAATTTAAGGCTGGCCCCCAATAAAAAGATGGAAATAGAAGGCACCGTGAGAATACAAAATCAATAAATTGGAAATCACAACCAAAATATGTTTGGTGCTCTCAAATACGCCAAATGCATATGTATAATATACATTGTATATATATACCCAGACATCTGGATAAATACAATAAACTCACTCCGATGTCACTGGAATGAGTGTTAGGATGTGGGTGGTTCTATCCCGCCGAATCTTTGAGGATGGTGAATTTATAAATGATCCAGCAGCAATTTCTGACCATACCTGGGATGATCCCAATAGACTTTCTCACCCATTGTGGTCAAGAATCTAGCTTTTCCGTGGTGTATCGATGATTTTCCGCGCGCGAAAGCCCGGCTGTGTATAAACCCCACCCGCCAAGGGGTACAGCCAAAGGCTGTGGGCCATCAGTCCTTGGGGAGAGTGTCATTGCTTAAACCGTTGGTTGGGAGTCTTGAACAGCCCCTCCGGTCATCCACATGCAACGGGAAATCCCGAACTAAGGGAAGGTTTTAATGATGGGAAAATCCTTGAACTAAATGGGGCATGTTCATTGCGATGTTAAATTACCGGAGGGTAAAGCAGCTGTTAGTCAACAGAAAGAGGGAGTTAAGCATGACAATGGTTTGGAAGCAAGGCAAGCTGGGAAAAGCTGGGTAGCTAGGGTGTTTTGCTTGTTTGTGTAAGGCAGTAAATGAAGGAATATAAAATATACCTGCAAGGTGAAAATCAACTGCCTTGCGGCGCAAGAGGCCCTGTTTGCATAGATGGGTAACATGTCGCCATGGTCGATATATCGAATGATCCAAGCCGGTTTGATTCACACTTTTGGATGTACCTTTCCAGTCGAAAAAAATCAAAAATATATTGTTTTTGGCCAGGAAATTCCCATTGTTGGTTGAAACAGCGGGAAATCTGGGGCACTCCAAGCGGCCTGACGCTCGCACCCCTGACGCTGCACGGCTTCGGAAGCATCGGGACTCTGGCTTTCGGAGCACTGGTTGATGTCGAACCGTGGAGGTCACTGGAATCATTTGCCGCTGGGAGGGTTTTTTGTTGGCATGTTTACCCTGACATTGGAGATGCAAAAGGCAGAGGAAGCCAACTAGAGCTTGGAGTTTCCATTTTGATGTGTGCTAGAGGTGATTAGCCATTTTGATGGGGGTGTGAACCAGTCGAACGACCAAAAAAATGAGCTCTTTGCATCTTTTATTTTGAGTCAGAAATTGGAAACCTCAGCAGTCAACTGGTGGTTTGAGGCTGTGCATGTCAGATTCCAGACAAACCTCAAGTCAGCCGATCACTTGATGGATTTTGCCTCAAATGCAACAAAAGGAGGTGCCACAGGAAACAAAAATCCTCCCAGATGGTCATCATTTCTAAGTCAATCGACTGGATGGGTAGAACCAATCCTAACTAGTCTTTTGGTATGGGATGATCTACGTTCACCAGCTCAGAATCTCTCATTTTTTGCAGGCTATCTGGCTCATTGGCCATGTAACATAGCTATGGTTTTTCGATGGCCCATTTAGTGTTGATTTGGATGCCCACCTCGGGCCGACACCGAGATTCATCACCGTTCCCTGCGGTTCCGGAACGCGCTTCGCGATGTCCGAAACGGAAGACTGTTCCGTACATCGATGGTTTAGATGTACCATTTTGGTTATGACTAGCATAGCCATGGAAAGATCCACCCATTTTTGATAGG